CTTGCAGAGGATGAAGGACAGAGAATGGGGTGAGATAAGAAGGAATTTCAGGCAAAAAGTACAACAGGTCAATCGAAGGGAACAAGCTGAAGGGGGAATGAGGAACAGATCTTACCAGAATGAAGAGTTTGTATCTGAGACTATTTGGTCTTAACTTCCCAAACGTATCACACAAAAGTTGCCATGGCTCAAATTTTGCTTGAAAACAGTCTCCTTTTAAAACAATGTGCCCACCAGTGAACCACCCCCTCCGGGTTCAGAAGACTTAAAGCTGGGGCCTTGGAGATAACCAGCCCTGGGTGTGATCATTACAGGTCTGAGTGCAAGTGAAACTTCTCCAAGCCTCTGTTCCTTCCTCTGTAAAACAGGCTAAAGAGCAGTATTCATCTCAGAAGGTGGAGGTGAAGCTTAATGTGATAATGTGTGCACTAGGAGCAATGCCTACACACAAAGACTTGGAACCAAAGTCAAAATGAGCAGCCCTCTTTATTAAACCGTGCCTAGTGCAACACACATACAAATCCTCAGTCAAAGCCATTTCTCTTTTGTCCTTGGTCTGGGAATAGTCTTTTATTTGGGGTATCTGTTCCCTCTGTTATCCTTATTGGGATCTGTTGAATACAGAGAGGCAGCATCTTCTAAGAGCCCTGGGTCAGAGTTGCCAGGTGTAGTAAGCCACTATGTAGAGGCTGACCAGAGGAGGAGGTAGGTTCCCCCCTTGGCAGGAAGCAGCCAAGAAGCTTCCTGATGGGGGCAGAAGCTCCTCAGCATGGAAGACTGAGACTCTGCCCAGACTGCTACCTGGTTTCTCACTCTCTTGGCAGGTGCTACTTCCTGCTGCTGCTTGATCCCTTTGTCTGGCCCTATTCTCTGTTTTCTGAGGCGCTCCCATTTCCCGACTTCCATCTCCTTGCCTTGTACGTGGGTATCTGTGTCTGTTGGTTCACCCTGCCTTTGGAAGTTGATGGCTTCTCACTTCTGGACCAGCATTATGGGTTCCTACGTTCTGTCTTTTGATTCCCGTGCCCTTCTGGCTCCTGCCGGCTTATGTAGCCTTTGACTCACCTACCTTGTCTCTTACTCTAGCCTCTGTATTCCAGCCAGGTTTGATCAATGTTTTGCTGTGCCATACTGGTACTACGCGCAGCACCTTGACTCATGACTACTTATCAAGATGATATGCAAAAGACTTAGTGAATGGTATGGAATGGGCACTGCCCAGTCAGAATGGTTGTCATCTCTAAACAACAGGGATGGCTATCCCTGCATGTACGGGCTGAACAGCAGCCCAGCTTACCAGACTCTAGACCCCTCCAACTGCTCTGATGAGAGGCCTCGTAGGGCTGGTGCCTCAGATTTGCTCCTTACTCATCTCCAGGCTTAGCACAGCTGGCCTTGTGTCCTGTTTCATGAGTTCCTATTACCCACAGTCCTAGAACTGACCTTCTCATTACCACTCCAACCAGAGGTCAATAGGGGAAACCTAGTGACATACTTAAAGAGAGGGGTAGCATTGATGCTGAAACAGGAGGCAAAACATAAAAGCAGAAATATGTATATTCCAGGTATAGCAAAAGTCTCTTTGCAGCAAAAGGCTCTGTATAAAACTGTGTTGTATCTTAAGAGTTGATTTTGTTTTCCTGGCCTGGCAACAGGAAGTCTTTTCTGCACATGCCTTCTATGAACTTCTATGCACCACTTATAGTCTATAAGAAACCATTTGGGTGTATGTGATTTACAAATAAAGAGAATGAGAGGAAACCCTACACCTTCTGTTCTGTCAAAAGTCTGGATCTGTTCTTTCCCCTAACGCTCCCCTAACTCAAAATAAAAAGAACCACTACTGGGAACTTTCTTCTAGATGGACATAAATCTTGAATGTAGAGAGGAAAGGGACAGTGCTTTCAAGATGGTTCTCGAGTAGAGTTAACATTTCAAAGGTTTGGGAATTATTAATGTTTTGAGGTTGGAGTTAGGGGATGCAGTATCTTTTTTTTTCCCTTCCTTTCTTCTTTTGTTTAAAGTAGGCTCCACACCTAAATATGGGTCTTGAACTCACAACCCCGAGATCAAGAGATGCATGTTCTATCTACTGAGCCTGCCAGGTGCCCCAGCGGATGCAGTACCTTATGAATAAATGATTGTGGGGTGCCTGGGTGGTTCAGTGGGTTGAGCATCTGCCTTTGGCTCAGGTCATGATCCCCAGGTCCTGGATTCAAGCGCCATGTCAGGATCCTTGCTCAGTGGGGAGCCTGCTTCTCCCTCTCCCTGTGCCTGCCGCTCCCCCCTGCTTCTGCTCTCTTTCTCTCTGTCGGATAAATAAATAAAATCTTAAAAAAAAAAAAAAAGAATAAATGATTGAGAGTAGCCGAAACAAACCAAGAAAGGGAATTTGCCCTAAGCCCCCTCACACCTCCAATAGGATTTAAATCCTGGTAACTCAAAGCCACAGATTCACTGCAGCTGTGTGTCACTAACCAACTAGTTCTCTACAATTCTTTCTCTTTATATACTCTCTAATTTCATTGCTCCCGCCCACTTTATTTATTTTATTTTTATTTTTTTAAAGATTTTACTTATTTATTTGACAGGCAGAGATAGATCACAAGTAGGTAGAGAGGCAGGCAGAGAGAGAGAGGGGGAAGCAGGCTCCCTGCTGAGCAGAGAGCCCGATTCCGGGCTCGATCCCAGGACCCTGAGATCATGACCTGAGCCAAAGGCAGAGGCTCCAACCATTAAGTCACCCAGGTGCCCCACTCTCTCCCACTTTAATTTAAAAAGTCCACACTTACTAAAAAGACAAAAGAACATTACAACAAATACCTGCATACTATTCTCTTCAATTCACTGTCATTTTGCCACATTTCCTGAGCTTGCTCCCCCACACTTAGACTTGTCCCTGAACTAGCAGAAAGTTGCAGATATCACGACACATTTCCTCTAATACCGGCACCTCACACGAAGAAGGACAGTGTCCTACATAACCACAGCACCACTATTGTGCCTCAGAAAATGAAAAGTAATTCCATCATATTATATAATATGTAGTCCCTGTTAAAATTTTCCAATTGTCTCCAAATAATCTTATAGCAATATATATATTGCTAAAGGATTTTATATATATATATATATATATATATATATATATATATGCGTGTGTGTGTGTGTATATATATATATATTTTTTTTTTTTTTTTCTGATCTAGGATCCAAAGTTTATGCATCTCAAATTGTTGTTACACCACTTGAGTATTTTAATCTACAAAACTCCCCACCCTCCCAAATTTGACTTTCCAGTCTTTTTGGCAGGAACACTGCATAGGTGAAGTCATGATCTTATTGTATCCCAACAGGAGACTCTTAATAGGTGCTGGTAAGCTTGATCACTAGGCTGAGGTGATGACCTCCTCATCTTTCCATTGTAAGGACACATTTTCTCAAAGTAATCCATGGTGAGATAATCCTATTCTCCAACAACCTCTCACTCAAAGGTTTTGAACCCACGGATGAGTCCTTGCCTGAACTGGTTATGTTAGGGTTTGCTTAGCACTGGTTTTCTGGTTCTGGTATTCCTTTCATTGTGTATTATTCAAACAATGACCCATCAGTACTCATCCTCTCTTTCCTCAGCGCATATGCTCTCTGGTTACTTCTTGCTGGGCTTTCCCCCATGTCTTTGCTGACCACATCTGACCACTTGAGCCCAGACTGGGGGAGCCATTTGCTTCTCCATTAACCCGCCCACCTCATGACTTCACCTTCAGTAAATTAAAAACAAACACAAAGAAACCATGTTGCCCACCAACTTACAGCTCTGCGAACAATAAAGTGGCTATACTACATATTTATTAGGTTGACTGAAGAAAGTAGATAGAGAAAATCAGTTTTAGTTTTTTGAAAAATCAGATTGCCAGAGCCCTGAAAAATCTTTCCTCCTCACTAGGGTAAAGCTGCTCCTTCTGTCACAATCAGGCTTTTTGTAATGGTGTTGAACAGACGCAACCTCATCTCTTCAGTCCCCTGATATGAGAATCTTGGAAGAACAGAGGTTTAGAAATCATGCAGCCCAAATGCCCCATTTTACATGCATAGAGAGACTCAGGTCAAGGGGCTTGCCCAGAGTCCCTCAGCTCCTTAATGGTAGATATAGGACAGGAACCTGATTTGAAAAATACCTCCTCTGATGTTCTTTTCGTTCCCTTCCCAAGTGCCTTGTGATTTGGCTATTTAATGGGCAAGATGATGCCATAGCACTCGCGGCCTCCTTCAACGCTAATTTGCATTTTGCCTGCATCACCTTCCCACCTTGTAATGCTTTAAGTAAAAATTCCCATTAGGAACTTTTTATTAATATTATTTTTTTTAATCCACCTTCATTTTTGCGGGTCAACAGGGACAATTTAGGAAGGCTTAGGGAGCACAAGCTACCATGACTTTAACCAGGAAAAATAAAGGTCTCAATGACCTGCATCAGGCCGCTCCCTGAATGCCGCTTTCCCAGAGGCTGAAACGCCCTGCGGGTTGACAGCTCCAGGGGTCGTAAGACGCCAGCCGGAAGGCACCCTTCCCCGTCGCCCGCTGCAACGATGCGGTGAGAGGCACCGGGCTCCAGGAGCTTGTCTAACAGTCACAGGAGAGGGGAAAGCGGGGAACAAAGCCCAGCGTGGAAAAACCCAGCCCCGCAGCGCGAGGAAGGCAGGAGACCGCGCCCTCACTGCAGCGGCCCGGCGGGCTGCCGAGGCTGCGGAGCCGCAGTGCGGAGCGTGGGACCCACACCCCGGGGGCGTCCCCCGCTCGCGCCGCCCGGCACAGCCCGCCCGGCCGCGGAGGGAGGCCACCGGCGGCCCGGCTCCGGGCGCCGGCTGGGTCAGGCGCGGACGCCGCGGAGCATCCTCCAGCCCGCCAGGAGGGCGCGGCCAACCCCGCGCAGCGGGCTGGGGTATGCACACCGTTCCCCGCCCGGGCCTGCCCCCGCACCCCCCGCACCCCCGCGCGCTCACCCGTCCGTGCGCCCATCCCGGAGCCGGCGGTGCGGGCGGTGCGTCCGTCTGCCCCGAGGTAGCGGGGACCGCCGAGCAGCGGCGGCGCAGTGGCCGGGGCAAGCGCGCGATCAACAGGCGGCTCCCCGCCGGGCGCGGCGCCGGGGCGCGCGGCGGCAGCGGAGCAGCCTGGGAAGCGTAGTTCGCGGCGGCGCGCCCCGGCCGCGCGGAGGCGGGACCCCCTACCGGGACCTCCCCTGCAGGTGTCCTCTCCCGAATCCTCTTCCCGACCGCGTCACCGCCCTGCAGGCGACGAGGACCTCAGCCTTGGGAAAACGCTGTGCTGGCTCTTTTGAGAAGCTCGGGGCTGTGGATAGGGTGGGTGGCAAAGGCTTTTCAAGCCTGTGAGGAGCAGTTGGGTGAGTGAACATCTTTACGCGCAAGCCTTAAGATCTAGTTTTTACCGGCTTTACTGGGGCCTGGGGCGGGGACTCGGGAAGGAGCAGCAGCTAGGGCAGGTGCCTGCAGGGAGGGAGGTAAGCAGGTGGGGTTGAGCGAGGCTGATTTAAAGTTTGGGGGTCAGGGTGTTGAAGAGCTCATGCACACGCAGTGGCTTCTACCAGATGTTTGACTGGACAACGCAGCCTATGCCGAGTGTCGGCATCATCATCCGTAAAGTGGACTTAAAGCCTCAAGATGCATTTTGAGGACTAACCCCATATTAGGTGCATATATGAAAGCAGCTGTGCTGGGCACTTAACACATCCGCAACGAAGTTTCTTCCTTGGGAGTTACAGGGGTGTTCTCGGGCACATGTCTTGCCTGGGAAGACCCACCTATAATACTAAGTTAAAAATAGGTGAGCTTCATTGGGCTGGGTAGATAAATGTTAAAACCCACCTCGCGTTTAGCCGGTTCACTTCATCCCCGAACGTTCTGAAATGTCCTCTCTGCCGGGTTCTTGGGAGCTAAGAAGATAGAGAAAATATGCTCTTGTCTCTGAAGCATGAAAGTGGGGTGGGGTCACACGGGACTAAGGCCGAAATTCCTAAAATACGTGGCATGATGGGATTATCTTTCAGAAGCTTTCTCTAATTAGATGTGCTCTCACTCCTTTTTGAACCCCTTTTGCATACTTCTAGCACAACTCTTGTATATAGCATTTATCTGGACAGTTTAAGTATGTTGACTTTTGTTAAGTAGCTGCTATGCAGTAGTTCACCTTATGGTGAGATTTGCATCTTAGGGATGTGATGGAAGGAAAATAAACAAAGGGATGGATATAATATTGCTGGTATAATGTGCCTGAAACAGTCAAAGGGTGAATGCTTCATAATCTGGCATGACCTGTCAGTTATCATGTGGCAAAAGAAAAAAAAAAAAGAAAAAGAAAAATGCAGAGGAAAATCCATATTCAAAAATAATAACACAATTCTGCATTTTTGAAAATACTTTCCTATTCGTGTGCTCATTTGATTTTGGCAACAATCTGTGAGATACACAGTAAGGCTTTTCCCCAGATTTCTAAGAGGTACAGAGAGGTGATACGACTTGCTCAAGGTCATCTAGTTGATTATTAAGCTGATCTCTCCTTCCACCCTGCACATTCTCTGCCTTCCCCAAAGAGGCACTCTCAGCACTCTTTCCTTTGTACATTTCAAACAGGGCCATGCCTTGCCCACAAAACAGTTAATTCTCTAAAGCTCTTGGGACTAGTGGGATGAACAATGGCACACAGGAGGTGCTTCCCACTCTCCACGGTGGTAATGGATTGTACCCTGGGCCTCTTCACCAGAATGGCACATCTGATCTGGAAATAATGAAATGAAATGGAGGTATGAACAAACCCTTAAATCACGCTCCCAGGTTTTCCTATCATTTGTTATTCCAAATGTCCTGGGAGATCTATGATATCTTTGACTTTTTCATGTTGTGCATTTATCACAAATCATAGCCTCTGTTAAATGAGAATGGAACTACTTACAAATCAAGCCCCCAGTTTTCCCAGAGAAAACTGATGGTAGGCATAAACTCAAATAAAGCAATTTTATTCATATTGAAAGAAAGAGTAGCAAAGGGTTGATATAACGACAATACTCAGTGGTGTACCATCTTTCTTTTTGGTGTTCTTGTGGTTCTCCACAAGGAAAATGCCTGTGTGTGATGAAATGAATGGAGAATTACTTCAGATGAAGTATGGGAAAGGTAGCAGGGATAGAAATGATTTCTTAAGTTAAAGTCATAGTTGGCAGTGAAAGCAAAGGTGGAAGAGCTCTGACAGTCACAGAGCCTTGTATGAGCTCTGGGAGGATGCTGACACCAAGCAAAAGGAAGTAAGTTATGAAAAAGATCTTCTAATTAAACTCTGTAGCATGAGGGCTAGAAGCTAGTAGATGCTAACAGAAGAGGCAGGAAGGTAGAACACTTAACCTTTCTATTTTTAATGTTAAAACTTAATGGAAAGATATAATCAGTACCAGTTTGTTTAGTTCTTTAAATCTAATACCCATGTATAAACTTTTTAAGGGCTAGAAGGACATCAGCCATGCCTAGGACTTGGCAGCAGAAACCCATCAACATTTCTGGACCATATCTTGTAGGTTTGTTTATTTATTTATTTATTTATCAGAGAGAGAGAGAGAGAGAGAGAGCACAAGCAGGCAGAGTGGCAGGCAGAGGCAGAGAGAGAAGCAGGCTCCTTGCCAAACAAGGAGCCTGATGTGGGTCTTGATCCCAGGACCCTGGGATCATGACCTGAGCCGAAGGCAGTGGCTTAACCCACTGAGCCACCCAGGCATCCCCATATCTTGTAGGTTTAATTTTTGAACTTGCTTTTTCCAAAATTTAAAATTGAAACAGCTGGAGCTGGAGGAGACTTTACATATAATCTTATCTAGTGTCTTTGTGCAGGCAAGAAAGCTGATAGCTCAAAAGTAAATATCACTTGATAGAAAGTAGAAAATTCTGTGTGGCATTTATAATGAAGTATTTGTGTTATTCACAATGGACTGTAGCATAGCTCATTAGGAACATGAAGCAAATACTGTTGCTTGCCCACTCAACATCCATTTACCCCTCTTCTTTTTTGCAGAAGCCTTAATAGGTGTTGACCCACCAAGGAAGGTGATCCTATTACCATCTCAGAGGTACACTCCTAAACTACCATGGGCAAGGTTAGAATAAGATCCTCTTGATTGGCTAGTGAGAGGTTAGGGGTGGGCATATGACCCAGTTTTGTCACTGAAACCTGAGGAGAGGTGTGCTGAAAACCTTCTGGGAAAGATTTTTCTTGCTCTTAACAAAGACATACAGGGCGCCTGGGTGGCTCAGTGGGTTAAGCCTCTGCCTTTGGCTCAGGTCATGATCTCAGGGTCCTGGGATTGAGTCCCGAATTGGGCTCTCTGCTCAGCGGGGAGCCAGCTTCCCCCTCTCACTCTGCCTGCCTCTCTGCCTACTTGTGATCTCTCTCTGTCAAATAAATAAATAAAATCTTAAAAAAACAAAACAAAACAGGGACATACAGGAAACATGCCACCATCTCTACTGGGTTTTGTTGCTTCTGGCTGTGTTACCTGAAACTTAACCCTTAGGACAGAGCCAACACATCAGTGATGGCAGAGTATAGAGATAGAATGAACCTGGTCTGTGATGTTGTTGTTAAGTCACCAAATCAATCAGACCTGCTGCTGTCCCACTTCTAGATTTCTTTTTTTTTTCCTTTTTTTTTTTTTTTTTAAAGATTTTATTTATTTATTTGACAGAGATCACAAGTAGGCAGAGAGGCAGGCAGAGAGAGGAAGGGAAGCAGGCTCCCTGCTGAGCAGAGAGCCCGATGCGGGACTCGATCCCAGGACCCTGGGATCATGACCTGAGCTGAAGGCAGCGGCTTAACCCACTGAGCCACCCAGGCGCCCTTTCCTTTCTTTTTTTAAAAAATATTTTATTTTTTTGAGAGAGAGAGAGAAAGACAAGCAGGGGGGAGGGGCAGAGGAAGAGGGAGAAGCAGACTTCCTGCTGAGCAGGGGCTCCATCCTAGGACCCTGGGATCAAGACCTGAGCTGAAGACAGATGCTGAACCCATTGACCCACACAGGCGCCCCTGGATTTCTTGTTCTATGAGATAACAAATGTCCTTATTGCTGAGTCACTTTGAGATGTTTTCTGTTGCTTGAAGCTGAAAGCATCCTAAGTATTACAGATGATATGTAAAAGTAAGTTCTTTGGGTGGACTGAAGGACTACTTCTTAGAGTTTACAAAAACAACCACAGCCACAGGCAAAAGATGGGGATATTGTCATGTAATGGATAGAAGTATGGGATGTAACACCAGACAGACCTTGGCTGTGACAAGATGTTCACTGCCTCCGGGGTTGACTGGGACCACTTTTTTTGAACCTCTCTAAGCCTCATTTTCTATATCTCCAGACTGGGGTAATAATACCACATGGAGTTGTTTTACCGGTTAAATGGGATAATTTGTGTCAAGTATGCTACAAGGATCTGGTGTCTGGTAAGCACTAAGGCGTGGCAACTATGTTGATGAATACGAGGTCACATTTATAGTGTACTTGGCAGCAAGCATCTAAAAGTGAATCACTATCGAATAGTGATCATGTTAAATGACATCACAGTAATGCAATCAGCAAAATCCAGAATGTGGGAAACTCTACACGACAACCCAATCCTTCAATAAATAAATTGCAAGAGAAACAAAGAGGGGGAGGGTTTATGGATACATAGAAACATAAGAGATAATGAAATGCAATATGTAGCAGATCTAGATTTGAAAAACTGCTAAAAAAATCAAATTTATGAGACAATTGAGGGACAACATGGAAACACAGGATATTTGATTATATGAAGATATTAAGTTTTTAGATGTGATAATGGTACTGTATTTTTTTAAAAAGAGCCCTTATCTTTTAGAAAGATGCTACTGAATATTACTGAAAACACACTGAATATTTGAAGAAGAAGTAATATCTGGGGTTTGTTTTTTAAAATAAGCCAATGTGAGAGTGGAGTAGGGTGACAGCATCAGGTTATAGATGAAAAAACTTGGTCACGAATTGATAATGGTTGAAGCTGGGCATTGGATCATTAT